TTTTTTTCAGAAACTACATAGCACTTTCACGTGAATCATGCATGTACACGAATTCGTCGGCCTGCAATTTCCGAGATATTTCAGATCGATCTGGATATTCACACTCGCCTAATATTATAGCGAGTCAAAGTTAACCCAATAATACCCTAGGGAACGACCAAACAATACTTCTACAGAGAATCGAGAATAGAAGCTGGGAATAGAAGAGTGGAGCTAAGATGAAGGGCTGAACGTCTTCTCGTTTTATCCCATTCGAGTATCCACTTCATCGGACTAAAAACAGGCACAAGACGGATTTAGCGAAATTCATTCAACCGAATATTTCGAATTTTCACTAAAATCTAAATTCCATATTGTGAATGTACGGGGGTTTCAGAATTTAACAAGTGTGTAATGGCAAATACATGTAGTTATAACCATTTTGGTGGTCGTTTTATAAATGTATAGTTTACACCTGCTCGCGAGTATTCAAAGTGTGGACAATCATCCAGTCAAAGTCCGGTAATTGCATCTGCTTCCCAAGCGCAGCTCAAATGTTACCCACTATAGGCTGGTCCTATAGCTGCCAACGAAAGACATATTTGAAGCAAGATTTGCAACGGAGGGGACCAGTCTTTGTGTTTCCAGAATCTCAGTAATTCTTTTGAGACACCTAAGGGATTTACAAGGGTAACAATAGTGTAGAGAGTGTATAGGGTACTACCCACATCGTTCACGGTTTAAATCATCAAACTTGCTCATGACTGTTTCTAGAGTTAGCTAAAAGTACTCACCTGTCTCTTTTTCTCGGCCAGCACTTTCAGCTTATTTACTAGAGTCGCAAAGGGAGGTCTACCCTCTGGGTTTCCGTACAGCACTCCTTCATCAGCGCATAACTGCATTGTGAGCAAAGAGTGTTGGTTTTGGCATATAATAACGCTTTAAAAAATCCTTTAAAAAATGAGTGCCGGCAAAGACACCTATACTCTTTAAAACAAACCAGTGATATGCCTACAACTAAATAGAATAAGAATGCTCTTTTATGGGTAAGTAGAATAAGAATGCCTTTTTGATGGGTAAATTGGTGAATCGATAATCTGTTAACGACGTATGTCTTCTTTTTTGTTTGAATAATGAGCAGGACTCGATTAGATTTGAATTCTACTTCGCTGTGGTCAGTCATGTGTTTGTGCCAAACTAAACAATTTCAAACGAAGTTGAACTATGTTCGACGTTTGGAGAAAAAAAACGGGATGCAGATTATATTTTGAGAGAAAGAAATGATAGAAAAGATCAGCCTTTGCATCCGTTCGAAATGACTAAATGAAGTGTCTGGATTTGATACGCCTTTCTGGTCAATGTTAAAATTGATTCATAGTGTTTGTCTGTCTGAAACCAGAGTCTATATGTCTGTTCTAATGTAGTCATTTTGATTATTCGGCGGAACATTGCAACGCCAGTCTGGAATTACAATATTAAGTGCTATCTTTCTTTACTTATTTATAACTCGGCTTCAAGTTCATTAAAGCTGCCAACAATAGTCTCAAAAGCAATTCAAAGATGAAAATTTATTATACGAGTTAATCTTACAGTTCATCATTACAGTTACTGGGCTTTTCCATGCGATAGTCCTCCTGGAGTTTGCGCGCCAGTGACTTGGCACTGATGGCTGGATAGGGTTTACCTCCTAAACGATGGGGAAAATGGATTTTAATCGTATAAGTGTATATTTATTTCCTTCATGGATTGAGGAAGCGGTTTCCAGATCTTGACCTAGATTATTGCGTGATCGGGATCAACCCAATCACTATTTTGAAATGTTACATATTAATCCCGCCCCCCCCCCCTTCCGCGACTTTTCTTTAAATGGTAGAATAAGAATGCTTTTTGATGGGTAAATTCGTAAATCAGTAATCTTCTTCTTTTTTTTTTTATAACGAGCAGGACGCCGATGACTTGAATAAGTTGCGTCGAATAATCATTACCCTGAAATTTAAAAAAAAATATAAAATCTGATTTGAAGTGTGCATAATTATTACTCTGACGTCATGATGACGTCATCTGGTATCAAATTATTAGCGATTTTCTTTAAAACAAGCGCGAGTGCACAATAATCTCTGGCCGTATTAGACTCAAGCGAGGTTGACGTTGAAATAAGTCTTGCATGAAAGTCTTGCATGAAATCGATCAAAATAATCCTGCAAGAGCTTACAAGTGGGTTTATGTTTTCAATTTCGTTGCACCTTGACATTTTGGTCTGTGTTGTTCATTAATACGATTATATTTACATTTGCTTGCCATTTTGTTCTAACTAAATGTGTGTTTTTGTTTTGTTTTGTTTGTTTTTTTGTGCGTGTTTTTGTTTTGTTTTTGTGTTTGTTCATTACTTTTTATTTATATATTCATATTTTTATTGTATACTATTTAATTTTGTGTAGATAATTGAGCATGGGTAGGCAGACCTTAGGGCTACAGTGTTTAAGTACACTTTGTTTACCCTGGCCGGTTTAGAATGTTTTATTGTTGTTTTCTGTCCCTGTATCTCCTCTCCCCTGTCAAACCGTCCACCCTCCCTTCCCCCCCCCCTCCCCCAACCCATTCCTACTCGCATCGTTCAGTCTTGTCTGGTTCTACTTTTCAATTTCCAATTTACTATATGATATATATTTGCTTTGTCATTGTACTTTTGTTCATTTGTTGGCCGAATAAATAATAATAATAACAGTAGTAATAACAATAAATGCGACGCTGAAAATGCGACCCCGATAGCACATTATGGAACACCATACTTTTGGTCAATTTTCGGGACAGACAGACTGACCACCAATTGACATGTAAAAGCTCCTGCCAGAGCTTAATGACAAACTTCTTTGATTTGTAACACTCTTGAACAGAATGATCAATAGAGTTTAGCGGCTCAACATCAACCGGAAGTGCAATGAAGTGCGGATGTCCCCCATCGCAACCCTTCCAGGACTGGTCAGCCTCGCCAGGAATTGTATATAAAGCCCTGATGCTAATTCCAATAGTTTAATCACTTGCTCCAAAAATCTGCTCCAGCTAATAACTAATGAAAACGAGCCCTGTTCAATTTCAGATGATTTAAATTTAAATTTAATCAATTCTGATAATAATAGTCAGTCACAGGAATTTTGAGACTTAATTTATTCTTCCTCATGCATACCGTTTATTAGTTAACCAACTATACTAGGGTATCTATTCACATCTGCAACTTTGGCTGATAATATATTTCTAAAATATTACCCACACCAGATTCCGGTTTGCTGATGACGGACATATCAGATCTTCTTCCCTTTTACTAAGAATCGTTCCAATCCCCACCCCACTCTCACACGTGATTATTCTCAAGAAAATCTTGCTAACAAGCACTTAATATTCGATACCCAGGATGTAACTACAGCCTTCATCAAATTCATGGATATTTTAATACTAACGTTGAAAGGTATATTCCTCTTAGGCACAGTAAGTCTACGTCGCGTAAATTAACTCTGAAATCCCCTTGGGTTACTAATAGCTTATGTAATTCCATTAATCGCAAGAACAAGCTATGTCATAGGTTTATCTCAAATCCTACAGATTCAAATCGCTATAAGTAGTACGGTATAAAAAACATCTTATCTAACATCTAAACGTAATTGCTATATCAGTTCGAGAAAGAAAAGGTAATATTAAAAACACATGGGAAATAATTGATAATGTACTTCATAATAATTCTCAACCCAAATTACTGCCATTGATATTGAAGGCATTACGCTAATAACCCACATTTTATTGCTTATCAATGCAACCAATACTTTACAAACATTGGTAAAAGCTTTGTAATCAAATGCCCTCCAATGATCTTAATTGTACTGGACTACTTATTAAACCCCAACGCTAGTTCTATTTCTTATATCCAGTCACACAGCAAGACATTATTGACATTGTATGTACTTTGCCTAATACAAGGAGTGCAGGCTTTGATTTAATTAATAGCTCGCTAATTAAGGAAGTGATCCGGGCAATCGTCAAACCCTTAAAACATGTCTATTTCTACAGGTATAGGGCCAGAAGGTATCTATTAGTGGAACTCAGTCCTCATCTAGTATAATTTTGCACAGAGTTCCGCAAGGATCCATTTTGGGACCACTTTTCCTTTCGATCAATAAATGATTTTGATCAATCTTCTGACTTATTTTCCTTCATCTAATTTGCTGATGACACTTGACAGCAACCTATTCTATAGCCACCCAGATATTAATACGTTTTGAAAATGTTAATATTGAACTTACGAAAATGTCTAATTGGGTTAAAGCAAACAGGTTGTCCTTTAATATTATAAAAAAACTAATGCTGTTTAGTAAAAAAACAATATTATAACCTACCTGAAATCTTTGTCGACGATATACAAGGCATAAAACCTGATTGTGTGAAATGTTTAGGTATTCATGTCGATGAGAGTTTTTCAAGGTATAAACGAGTTAATAATATCTGCGCCATTATTTCCAGAAACAAAGGAGTCATATGTAAACTGAAGGCTTTTTTCCCTCAAGACATATTATTTTAATTTACAATAATTTAATTTTACAGTACTTAACATATATGTGATCTTAGCATTGGGCAATTGTGGTGTTGGTCAAATCAAACGGAATACTTAACTACAGAAAAAAAATGCGAATAATTAAATCTGCTTCGTACCTCAAACATAGCAATCCTCTTTTTTAACTTATAAAAACTCTCCAGTTTGGGACCTTCATGTACCAACAAAATCATAACAAATTACCTAAATCCATCTCTTCTATGTTTACAAAAAAAAATAAAGAAGTGCATCAGCATTTTACCAGACAGTTTAAAAAATATCATCAATCCTTTGCTCGTACCACTCTTGCCCAAAGTACAGTCAAGCACGAGGGTCCCAATCTGTGGAACTCCCTAGATGTTTCTATAAATGTTTTTTTTTATGGAATCTGCCATTATTTAAACAAAAAATCAGGCCAATTTAACTACCCAGTGGCTATATTCACTCTGTTTAGTCTTTCATTTACATATTCTCACAGGGTTACAAGGCTTACTGTCCTTTCTGGTTTAGTTTATTGTCTTATTGTATGTGTATTCAGTGTTAATACATTTTGTTCATGTAATTGTTAATTAATATTAATGGGGATCCTTACTCGACAAGCATTTGCTTTTTGGGGACCCCCCATCCACATTACTTTTCTTTTCGTAGAATTATACATGTATTGCGTAGACACCAATTATTTGGAAAAAAAAGGAATGAATGAAATGCAAAGAAAAATGATTGTAACTCAAAAACCAAACAATTTAACTACAAACAAATTGAGGAATGCTAAAACACGAATGAGCATGACGACGCCATTATGACTCTTTATGGTTTCAGAATCATGACGTCATCAGACCGGAAATTATTGTAGGAGAATTTCAAATGATCATTTTTTTAAAATTCAAATCAAACATTTCATCAGTGTTAAACTGCTAATGTTCGTTACCCAAATAATCATATCCGCGTTCAATGTTCACCTTGGACTTCCGAATGCTGTGACGTCATCAAACAGGAAATTATATATTATTAATGCTTACACTTATAATTTACATATTTTTATAAGTTCTTTTCCTTCATGATGAACTTGTATCCTCTCTAATCTAAATTAGTATTCAATTTCTGTTTTTGACTGCTGACGTCATCAAACCTGAAAATAACTTGTACGTGTAAATAATGACATGTATATTGATTTTTCATACCCATAAGGGTTGTACTGGAACGCCTAAATTTCACGATCCTTTTTTTCTGTTCTTACACAACAATAACCAATGGGCAGTGTCTAGTGAAATAGTAGGAGTGCGCTATTTGGTTTGGGTAAATGCAAAAGACTCATGACAGACTTTACCCAAATCAAACAGCGTCCTCCTATTGTGTCTGCCATACCCTGCACTAGTAGTTATATCGTGTCTGGAGCATGATCCAAACAATGGATTAGTCCAACCGTCAGACTAGTGTGAAAGATTAACCAAAAACTTCTTCAAACTTACCAAGAGTGACGATTTCCCACAAGAGAATCCCAAAGGACCACCTGATGTCATGCATTCAAAATAACACAAGAAAAGTTATTTTGATACGTCACTGTTTTTCATTCACATACACATTTGTTTTCTCTTAATAACAAAATAAAGAAACAAGCATTAGTTGAGATATAAAGGCCAGTAAGGTGGCAAAACCTAGAAACCATAGCTTCTATCAGGCATGACATTACACAAAACAGAGGAAGAATTGCAGAACAATAATAATATGCTAAGCATTATACAAAACTGAGTTATGAGTAATGGGCTAGGAGTAGGATCGCCATGCAAAGCTCGCAGAGTGGAAAATTTGTCACATTTAACGATCTCGCATTGCATAGCTTGTTGTAAATTGACCCAGAATGACTGCTTTCTGCAATTAATCTGAATGAGAAGTGTTTTATGGGCGTAGCTGAACACAAAATGAGCTTTTAGTCAAGCACTGATGTATATAATGAAATCAGCAAAGCAATACTTACACATCACTCTTAGTTGTGTATTCTTGTTTGGTCAGAGATTCAAGTGCAAGCCAGCGGGTTGGAAGACGTCGCTGTAAAAAACAATCATAGTTGTGAATACCAAACAGATAATCCGTCTTTACTGTAAAACCGTTATACATTCCCATTACAAAAATGAAAAAGTTGGTTAAACTATAAACTATAGACCTTATGCGATGCAGGTATCTTATAGGGTGTTCTTTGTTAAATTGTTGATTTGATTTTTTTTTACAATGAACTCACAAAAAGTTTACTCATGCCTATCCAGACAATACAAAAACCATTGCCCTCAAACTCCACCTCAACGCATAAGCATAACGCATAAGCAACGCATAAGGTCTCGTTTGACATGTCCCAAAATTGGAAATTATATTGGTATAGAAAACCCCCTAACTACCCTGAATGCCTGAATTGGGCATTGAAGAAACGGCGCTTTTTAGACGTTTGGCATATTATTAGATAATAACAATTTGCGCGCACTTCAAAATAATCTCGTTTTCTTCTTCAAAGCTTGTTTTTTTTTTGATAGTCCCTTTAATAGCTAGGTAAATGAAGAAATCGCAAAGACACAAAAGATAAAGTATAGCTTACTTGGGATGTTGTGGCAGTATAGGAACTCCTATTTCTGGACAGCCCGACATTGGACACTTTGGCAATGAAAAACCTTCGCCAAGCAGAATGTTTCTGGCTTTCAAAGCACGGTGAATGATCTGCATATTAAACAGACAAGGCCCTTCTTAATACTGACTCTAAGAAATATTGCAAGATTTAATAGTGTCGTGTTTTATATTGTGTTTACAAGTTGTTTAAAACCTGCTCTACGTATGCAGTGAGTTTGATATAATATGTGTGATTGTAATTCGGATTGTTAGTAGTGTACCTAAACGCACCATAGGGTCACTACATAATCGCCGACAATACTGCCCATTTTTTTCACAACCTTAGATACCAGTCATTTCTAGTATTGACTTGGAAAATTGGGCTTGCACAAAGCTAGTTACTTGTTGTGACTGCCATAAATTAAAATGAAAAGGACCTTTAAGTCGGCAAGGTGTTTCATCCTTCCGCGATATCGAGAGCAAACCTCATCAAATGAACTGATGACAGGGCAACCCCATTCATTCCGGTTGCATACGAGCCTTCCACAGGAAGTCGCAAAGATTGCCATTAGGAAGATACTCCAAAGCCAAATACAGGACTCCTGTTTGAGGATAAAATTGGGATGTCATCACTTTGACACTCAAACTGACACAAGTCTATGTTATTCAATGACCGTTTGCCCAATGTTATGGTGGATTTTTTTTTCTAAGGGGGTGCCTGGGCGTTGATGTCTATAGCATGTTTTTTTCTCTCAGGCAAGGAGTTGCTGAGATTGGATACTCAAAATAATTGAGGGTCGAGTGCCTTAGAGAGTAAACCGATATTATTTAAGAAGGACATGTTTTATTTTTCCCCTTAATAATACGTAAATGACAGATATTAGTGAGGCAGAGGGTGATGTGAACGATTAGCACTCCCTCCCACCGGATCTCCACTCACTTATTGTTTAGCAATTAAACACCATCTTGCTATTGCTTTGTGACTATGTTTAGAAGCTAAATTAGAAGCTAAACAGAACCAGTACGTGTTCAATCATTAACCCTAAAAAGCCGGGTTATTTTGACCATCCTTCAGGGTAGGGGGCGGATTCCACCCCACCCCCAAGATCTCGGTCATCGAGTGACGGAAATTATGAAGCTCTGTACAAGCATAGAACAATACTGTATAAACACACCCAAGAAACTTCATGACTTTGGATAAAATTATTTTGGAATTATGACTAGTTGATGATTCATATGCACAAATGTTAATTCTGCTTTGTGTACATTATATGGGCAAAATAAGTTTTTACGGTGCGAAGCGCAGGAAAATGTTTCGCTGCTCGGCAACCCGTGGTCCGAATTTTATGTTTTGGTATCAAAAGATGTGCAAGAGCAGCTCGGGTTGCGAAATTTTGTTTTTCAAGGCTATCGCGGAAAACGTTGAAGGGTGTGGAATCCGCCAGGCCCTTTTTCGGGTTAACATTAATATTCAGTTGCCAAACAGTATCCATAAACCGTATTTACACAAATTTACAACCAGCAAGACAGTGTTAAAAAAAGTGTTTGATTCTCAACGCAATTTTCACAGTAGTACGATAATTCTAACTATATGTTCCCTCTTTTGACCTAATACAAGCAAACCCCTTATCGTTCCTGTGTTGTTGTTGATCCTATCATGATGAAATGTGAAAATGTGTTACCCCGATCCACAGACCTCCAAATGAACGTTTTCAATTGATTTGTGCAAGAAAATATGATGCATAATCTTTATTGTCTTACCCTGATGCAAGCATGCTCCAAGAAGTTCAACGATATTTTATGGTATACGATTGTGGTCAAGGTTTGAAACTCGGCCCAGAAGTTATCTTTATAACCTGGGATTGTCTTCCTAGTGGCAAAAAGAACAAACCAATAAACAATATTGATATCAGAGTGATATTATTATCATTTTCAAACAGTTTCCAGAAAGAAGACTAATCTAATTTAATATAGTGGGTTATATACTTTACCAGACAAAATCAATAAATACCACCGATACGGCAAATCAAATTGGAAATATGGCATATATCAAAATTGTAAACACGCGCTACGTCCTGTTATTCACTCTATTCTACCTTTCAACTGCTTGATTGCCGAGGAGATATCCTTTCCGCCTCTTTTTACAGTTCCAGCTATGACTTCAGAAAGTGGCCCCTTTCCAAGTACGAAATGATGCAAAGTCATATCAGTCCACAAAAGCTTATACCCTCAGCCCAACGTGGGAGTGTCGTGTCACCATCAATAACCGTCTGAAAAGAAGAAAGATCGCCACACGTGGTCATATTCACGTTACCAGGATTTACGTTCTTACTCGAGACAGTATTAGACCCTGAGAGGAAAACTTGCTTCCTGTTTCTGATTCAATAACCCGCAACAGCAAGTAATGGATTGAAATTGTGTTCTTGGTACGCGTCACGTGGGTGGTTTGAAACCACTGATAAAACACCCGCAGGAATTGCACTAAACCAGCCAGCAACGTGTTCTTGTTGCCGAAAAAAAAATCAGTCGCAAAAACCACGGCTTATTATAGCAGACCTTTTGCTCCAAAACAATATAACTGGACGTCTAGCCGAACCTTCCTTGCGCTGTTATTTACCACACCTACATTGAAGTCAAACAAGAAGACTTACCAATTCGATGTCAACTCCAGTTATTTTCTCTGTGTTTCGCTCCCTCTTCAACCACATTGCAGCACAAGTAACAACTACAAAAGCTAACACCACCAACAACGATACAGACACGGCAAGACTGATCATCGCTGTCGGATCATACCCTGCACATGAGTATACAGAGATGAAATTAACCTTGAAATGATCGATTTTGGCTGTAGAGTAATATATCTAAAACATGAAGGAAAAAAAATGCTATACACAATATCAGCATAGGCATATGGACCATGTTTTGTTTACCAAATTGGATATGAAAATAATGCTATACACATTATCAGCATAGGCATATTTTGTAGTGATATGTTGACAGACTGAGATCGATCTTGGAGGTATGATCAGAACCGTTAGCTCGGTGGTCGAGTGGTGAGACGTCTGCACTAGAAAAGCAGGAGGTCATGTGGTCGAGTCCCACCCGAGCGATTTTGTCCAACTTTCACTCGGGAGGAAACACACTGAATATACAGTGTTTATGCGTCGGTGAAGGGCAAAATCTAATTAATTGACCAAATTTGATGTTGTGTCACGTGATGCAAAACATTCAGCAAACGAATATCATCTGCACTGCATGCACAGGCCAACATGAATTCATGTTTTAATATGAATGGTTTAAAAGTGTTGACAAATCTGTTAATGTGGGCCAAATATCATGCAAAAGACGCTTAAATGTTTGGGTTGCTCGTAGACGTGACGTCACATGGCACAAGGCCATAAGTAGAGGCTTGAGAAACCTATCCTAATACCTCCAACCAGGACCATTCCGCCAAAAAACTGTGTTCTTTCAATTGCAAATTGTTGAACACGTGTGCAAAATTAACGAGGAATGGTCTGGTGCTTGCATGTGCGTTACATTAACGTTTCTTTTGTATGCGGTGTCGGGGGCTAAAACAACATCAATTCGTTCGCACCGTGAGTTACGAAAACACAACTGTTTTCGAGGTTAGAATGTTACAATCTTATCCCGCCAATACAATGTATTACATTTATATTAATATGAGCAAATTGGAAAGGAAAGGAGTGTTTTGAGAAGACGCGAACGTTATAATTACATGTACAATGAAAACACGTAATGCACGTGGAAAAAAAAGCAAGTACAGGATATAAAATCATACCAGCCATTTGCGGTATCGAAGGATGCAGGAAGAAAGCAGGGCTTACTATTGGAAACGAGGAAATACATTGGAAATAAAGTAAGCAGTGGGGACGAGGTTGGGTGTAACCATTCTCTGTTTGGGATCAGCTGTATAGGTACAAAGGCAAGTTCAGCAGTTGATATAGAGAACATACACGAAGTATGGAAAGTATCATCAGGATTTGAGCTCTCATCGTTCTTGATAGTGTAAACACATAGATTTGTATCATAGTGTTATTTGACTATACAAGGCCTAGAGTCTTGGTTACTTTTAACAGAAGAGAGACATACATGAATATAAAATGATGTTTCCACGTAGCGCGTATAGCCCGAGCGGATAGAAGGAGTTGAACAGAAAAATCTTGAAACACTTGAAAAAATAAAAACTTCTGACAAGGATTATCGGGTCTTTGTGTTTTTATTTGAAGCACAGACTAAAATCACTTGACAGAGAGTTGGTTCTGGTGGAAGTTCAGAACAGAGTGTGAGAAGACAAGAGACGAAAGGAGAGAGTGAAGACTTAGGGAGAGGGACTGATTAAATACAGAAATGAAATATAACAGTTCACAGGACGCAGGAATAGCGGGGCGAAGTTGGCTACAGAAGCTGGAAAACTTTGAAGAAGGTGGCGGATGGACGCAGATTGAAGATGGCGGCGAGAAGCAGGAAAATTGTAGAGAAGTCACCAAGGTAAATATGAAGATGCTGGAACAGTTTAAAAATGTTGGCTGGACCAGGCGCAGGAAAAGTGAAGCTGAGACGGATGCTAGAAGACAGGACACCGGACAGGCAAACGACGAAAACTTGTAGGGGTATCAGTCACTTTATACCTGACGTACAATGAAGGGATGGACGAAATGAAGAAAGTTTAGCCAGGATGACGACGACGACTGCAGGAATGTGGGAAACAGATGTTCTGTTTCGTCTCTTCAGCAGCAAAAAGTTCAACTCACACAGAGTTACGGAATATAGGGGCTAGAAGATGAAGATGAAGATGTAGAGACAGATGTGGATGTGGACAATGCTAGGAAGGAACATTTACTTTGGAGTAAAAACATTATTAAGGAAAAGGAAATACTTGAATCCGTATTAACAAAAGTTTATATTGTTCAGCATTTACTAGACAACATGATGGCAAATGCCTCCTATACGGTGGCTGTCGCGTGGACGACTGGTTGTCAACCATGTGCGTCGCAAGGATTTTTTCCAGAGGGGGCCAAAGCACTTTTTCTCCCTCAAATCCGTGTTCTTTTTCAACATATTCTCGATTTATCATTTTTCGAGGCTGGGCAGGCACATTTGCCCCCCCCCCCCCTGAATAGCTATATGACTTATTAGCGCCACGTTTTCGCTTTACCGAGTGAGTGTAAAGAGCTTTTCCAGTGTGAGTAAAATATTTTTTTTCACATGTTTTCCTTAACTACACGAAAACAAAATGATGTCCACACTAGGTATGCAACGTGGGGTTGTGCGTGTACAAACACTGCCTTGTGGGGTACCGGAACAATGGGAGGTACCCCACAAGGAATGCCCAACGACTTGGGGGGGGGTACCGTTTTGGTACCCACAAGTTTTTCACGAAATAGATATATGGATTTTTCTCAAAAACTAGGAATTTCCAAGGTGGGCTGATCCGTCGCAAATGGAAGAGTTTTAGAAAAGGGATATTAAGTCCGAATTTCAGCCCAGGAAATTAACTATGGTTAAAATAAGAGCATTTTGACATAAGTGTGCGACGTTGCAACATTTAGTACACGAGAACAAAGGAAGTACCCCACTTCTATGCCTATGTAAGCGTGTTCCTGCATGTGTGGGTGAGCTTGTCTTACATACGCAGTGTGGACTTCCGAACAAAAGACGTCCACATAATGTAGGTAGCACCGACGTTGTGTGGACTTGCCCACGTCCACACAGTGTTTCCCCATTTCTGGAAAACAGGTTTAGAGGCATTTTTGGGTTAGGTTTATCTGTAGCAGAATGAAAGAGAACAAAAGGGAATCATAGAAAAAAAATTGGGTTGAAAGAGTTTTCATAGTTTGAGAAAAATGAGTTTTTTTCACTGGTTTTCTTAACTACACGAAAGCAATGGAAAGTCCACACTAGTCATGTGAAACAAGTAGGGTTGTGTGTGTGTGTGTGTGTACTAACAATTGATACCCTATTGTTACGAACCATTCGGCTGTGCAACAACCACAGGTATTAATCAATTACTATTGCTTCATATTTTATATATTTAATGTGTGCCTTGGAGGTTTTATTAATCACTCTCTCTAAAACCGCAATTATAGCCCCAGACTCCAAGCGGTCTTAAACAATGTGATTAATACCGACCAAGCACATAATATTCCAATTCATAAATACCTTTTTGGTCACACGATATCAAAACGTTTCGAAAAAAAAAAACAAGTTCACTTCATGTTTTTAAAACACCCCTCTAACTAAATAATGGAGTGTCCAGCTCGCAATAAGATGTAGACAAACTCCTTTTGTGGAGATTGGCGCAAGCGTCGCGTGTACTGCGCAATGTCGCACAGAATGCACCTTTGGCATTGCGTTGTGAATTTAGGACTATAAAATACTAACTCACCGGTAGTAGGTGCGCATGCCTACGTGAGGATTGTGAACTGCAAACAATTAAAACGGTAACTTGAGGCCCTGGTTTTTAGGAGTCCAAATTTCGTGTGACACTGGAAAAGTGTTTAAGGACCAGCCAGCCATGTCTTTATCGTCCATTTAAGACCGGCCACGTGATGGGCTCTCGACCAATAGGAATGGGTTAAACTGTCTTAGGTTTGTATGAATACAAATCCACCCAGCAAATGCTGAACATGAACATAAAACTTGTATTCATACGAATTCAAGCTTTTGCCTTCCTATATGGGGCAAGATTTTGCAGCTATCGCTTAATGCGTCACGTCGGTTTGAGTCTCTACAAGCTTCTGTCCTGTACAGATTCCCGCGCTTTGCGCTCCAGTACGCATGAAGAAAAACCCCGACATGTTACAAATCACGGCTAAAAAAAAAATGCAAATGTATGAATTTAAAGGACAGCTGTACAAATAGACAAAGGACCGGACAACCGACGATTACACTAAACTCAAACTAAGTCTTATCCCATCTATAATACAAAAGAAAAGGGGGGGGGGGAAATAAGAATAATGAAAAACTGGCAGCACCGCTGACACTTTTAATACAAATTAAATACTTGTGGGACTGTTAGTGTGGGTCCCATAATAATGTTGCTGAAGTGCTCTAATCTGGGTCGAACAAATGTCTTGTAGCAGTGGCTTTGGTCATTTCGTCACAGCATCTCAAGTTTCTTTCAAAAGGCCAATAATCTTATTTGC